AATAATTATTCTCTTTAAAATCGTTTTTAAAGTTTTTTTTATTATTTATTCAATGACAATTTGTTGCACCTGGGACAAAAATGACTAATATAATTTATCTTTATGATCCAGATTGCCTACTCCTTCAGTGTTTTTTTTGGGTGGGGATATCAAAGACTATTTTAGTCTACCTGCTAATTTATTTTTAGAGACATTATATTCTATTATAATCGCTTATTGTATTTCAATACTAGGCGAATAAAAGGCTTTAATGTGTTCATCAAAAGAAAATATTTGTTTTATGGTGTATATCAGGAGTGATGTATACACATCATAATATATCGGATCGTACATTGTGCAATCGATTGCTTGTAAACTGAAGATGTTTAAAAATTCTGATTAGAGATTCGTTATAATACATGTAATACCAATTGCATCATGTAAAAGAAAACAAACAAATATTCATGAATTATGAAATGTAAAATTTGTTCGACAATCTTTTATAGAAAAACGTTTTCATTTTAAATCGGATAATAGTTTTACTGTTTTAAGACTGTGTTATTTTATCAAAAATGTCACGCTGATCTGCTTACTTTCCACAGGAGTACGCTCTTTGTTTAGGTCTAAAAAGAGATAAATTTGTATCTAGATATGTTAGTTCAGCATTACAGGTCATAAATAGTTTATCTGCTACCTTTATCAGTCAGCTATTTAGATAATTAGTTATCAGGGGCGGATAAAGGTTTGTACAGGGCTACCTTTATGGAGCTATAGTTGTGGTTAATGCAGGGACATTTTACAAGTCCTACTACTAATGTTGGATTGGTGGGCCCCTTTTTTAAAAGCATGGATCCGCGTTAATGATTTTATGGCCAGGTTTATTTCCTTATACATCTTTTAATAATAATTATATCAATATTAGTTATCATGTCAGTTTCATAAATTCAAGGATTATAGCTATAAAACAACATAAAATACGATTCATGATTTCCCATGTACATAAATGCATACAGATTTATCAATTTTATCTATAAATTACATTCCGAAATACACAGGCTTGGCTCTGATCGTTGGCCGTTCAGCGAACAATATTACATGAAATGCATGATGATACCAATCGTAACCAAAAGAGAAAAATACAATATGTAAAATTAGGCTATTCCTAGAATTCAACATTCTAATATTTTTTGGGAAAACAGCAGCATACATGTTTTGATTTATGAAATAACACGATATTCCTAACAATTAGCAATGGTAGTATTGGCAGCTTGCTCTCCCCGAGTTCGGGAGGTTTTTTGTTCAAAAACCAAACACGCTCAATCGAGATTGGTATTTTCTTCTTTTCCACAAGCACGCAGTATTAATGAGTTAAGTTGGAACATAGGTTAATTTGGCTTGAATTCACAATAATGTCTTCTGGAAGACATAACCCATTATGATACTTCATGTCAAAATGCTAGATTTTGATTGGTTAATACGAGGGAGATAATTTACTCTATCCTATGGTAATACTCTATTACCCTTCACGGAGACGCTTGATCAAGTGTGCGTTTTATTAAATACGGATGGTTGTTATGTACAAGACGTCATACTTTATTACTTTGAATTTGAAATTTAATAGACAGTAATAACAGAACATTCAGTATAATAAATTAAAAAACACATAGCTGAGAGGGTGATAGAGCAGATTGTTACCCTTCGAAAAGACATTGTCAACCTTGGCTTCGCCTCAGTTGACAATGTTTTTTCTCGTGGTAACATTCTGCTCAATCACCCTCTCAGCTATGTGTTATTTATATATTGCCAACATACGCTCACTTTTTTAGTCTAGAACATAGCAATGCAAATATTCATGTCACTTGTATATGTTCCTCGACACAAATGTTAAAATATTTGAATTAAAGGTTACAATTGTAGCATAACGAACTGCAAATTCTTAAATTTCCCATGGGAAATGTACTTAGTTGTACATGTTGGGACATATGGGAAAATTCATTTCTCTTAATTATCTATCGCTTGGCCAAAAAAATATTTTTGTTATCTTGTAAAACAACAAAGTCAGATTTGCCAATTTTGAAATGGCGAATTTGTCCCGCACCGTGTTTATATTTACTTTTTAATATACGCACGTACACAAAGGTCTTAAATCCCCCCCTCCCCCCAAAAAAAGAAAAAAATCTTTCGAAAATACATATTAAAAACTATAAATAATTTTACAACTGATACACGTACAGTAAGCCTATCTTCCTTCAAAAATAAATCCCGCATACACATTTCATTATAAATATGATGATTTCCTCTACAAAATAGTCTGTATCGTACGTCAAATAGTTTTGTTCGTTCGAATGACACTGTACCGTTCGTTAATAAAACAGCAATAATAAGAACCTATGCTGTTTGTTTTGGATTATTGATAGATAAGTCGAAAATTCTACCACATGTTTGTTGAGGAATCGAAATGAATAGTATTAAATATATCTTTTGCAATTGATGGAATGCTAGATGATTGTTTGAATGGTAGTGCTCGAAAAGAATATTTTTACGTTTGAGATGATCTTGTTTACACTGATTTATGTATATCCTAAGTCTGAAATACATTCAAATTTTCAAACCAGTTTGAAATCTGTTATAAGGAAGATTTAAAGAATAACAAATCATAAAAAATGCAATAACAAAGTATAAATAAATATGTATATAAAACTAAACACATCTTTGCCAGCAGACTTATATGGTATTGTAGGGTTGATCTAAAAGCAAATGCTTTTCCACAAGGCCAACTAAAAACCCTCTTTGCATGAATGTCTCTAATGTGTTGCATCAATGTTTATATATAGACGCAAAAACATGACCATAAACAATGCAAGAGAAGATTGCTGGTACTTCCTTTTAATGTCTTTTTATGTTTTGCGAGACTCTTTTTGTAATTGACATCGACAAGCCATATGGAAACCTTTTAAATGAAGTTATTTTAATTGGACAAAAATAAACAAAGAGCTTGCGTCATAAGAAAAGTGTGACGACAGAAATAACTGGGATGAACTGTTTTGAAGTGGACTGAAACTAATATCTCATTAAGGCGAATATGAAAATATTATTCCGGACACAAAAAATGCCCAAAAAATCAACAATGTTTTTCATGCACAACGACCAGTACAAGAGTTTGAGACATAGGTTGATAAACAGACAACAAACCGTACAGCGACAAAAGTCGGAGGTCGATCTTTTAACATGTGTAACTATGATATGTGACTATTACAGTAAAAATAGACAGGTGTATTAATTACTTGTAAACATTGTGAAATACAAACGTGATTTAAACTTTTACATAATGCATGGTATGTGTACTCAACAGCAAAATGTGTCCATGCGTTTCGTAATTTTTGTTGTTGAAAAAACATAATGAATATCCGTGTAATTTAAATAATATGCAATGCATTTCAAGACGAAGAATATTTTTTTTTTCTTTAAGGATAAGAATAAGAAAATGTAGTATGATTGCGAATGAGATAACTCTCCACCAGACCCCAAATGACATAGAAGTTAACAACTATATGTAACCGTACGGCCTTCAACAATGAGCGAAACTCATACCGCATAGTCAGCTATAAAAAAACCCAAAATAATTAATGTAAAACAATTCAAACGAGAAAACGAACATCTTGAACATTGAAAACTTGTACGGCAATTGGTATTCGAAGTGAAATATTTGGATGTTCTATCTACTTACCTTATTTATACAACATATACAGTTAATTCTGCCTCATATGTTGACTTACATCTAGATATTGACAATGAGGGTTGGTTGAAAATAAAACTTTACGACAAAAGAGATGATTTCAGCTTTCCTATTGTGACTTTTCCATTTTTATGTAGCAACATTCCAGCAGCGCCTTCATACAGAGTATATACCTCCCAGTTGATACGATATTCCAGAGCTTGTATTTCCTATCATGCTTTCCTTGATAGAGGGTTGCTGCTCACAAGGAAGCTATTAAATCAAGAGTTCCAAGTGAAGTTGAAATCATCCCTTCGTCAATTTTACGGACGCCATCACGAGTTGGTTGACCGTTATGGAATATATCTTTTCACAGATGACGATGGATATGTTCTAATTGTCGTAACTATAATCCCGTTCCCTCCCCCCCCCCCCCCCCCCCCACACACACACACACACACACACTTGGCTCTTTTCACAAATTGTGACAAAACCGAATTTTAACTACCCACAAAATGCAACGGGTGGCGCAAGTACTTCTTACCCTTCCGGAAGACTTCAGTTCCCCCTTGTTCTATGTGAACGCTGCGATCGTGTTGTTCAATATTTTGATTCTTATGTGTTTTTTATTGACTAGTTTATCTTTTCCGCATTTTTATTCAAACATGCTGTTTGTCTTCGATATATGGTTTGTAATTGACCCCTTAATGTCTTATCCCTCTTCGCCCACTGTTGCTTTAAGAAATGGGGTCAAACTTTGGTCGTATAAATGCACCAAACATCATTATCCCCGTTCATCATCATTTCACACAACATGTATGATAAACCCCTTAGTTGTAGTTCCAAATATTTAATTAATATCGCACAAAGTAAACAGTGTTGATTGTTTACACTCTACACCCATACGAGACATCGTGTTGACGTGCATATGGCAAGGTCATTTATATTTTACTGATTAATGATTTAAATTGCGAAAAGCAAACCCTATATGAATCCTATTTTACGGCTTATAATTCTTATAATTTTCTTTAAACAAGAGAATTAAGAACAACAAAGATTTGTTTACATTACCAAAAAAAATCTTGTTCCCCTCTGATGATGCAATAGGGAAAACAAAATATGCATATCTCCTTATCAAATAGAATGCATTTGAAATATTAATTTAAAATCTTTATCTTTTATATCTGTTAAGATAAAATATTGTAAGGAAGAAAATTGACGTCGATCTTAAAGCTGTCGATTTTTTTTTCTTTTCACAGTCTGTTGCTTTAGCTTGCAACGAAAAGGGATCGTTACTTCTAGTTAATGCATTGTCGCTATATCTGCTAGATTGTGAAGGTAGGGCAATACTACAATTATTCAATTATTTTATGTTTGAGGGTTGTTATTTTCATGAAGATTATCAAATGAAAAGAATTTGATGATTGTTTTAAATTTTAGAATTTAAAATCTTGGCTAAAGATTAAGAATTTGAAACCTGAAAACGGATTTGAGTTTAAAATTTTTGATATTATTTTGTTAAAAAGTACAAATGTTAAACATGAAAACTTGCATGCGTACACTCAACATTGTAAAACTAAAAAATGTAGTTCAAAAAACTATCTATAGATCGAATTAGGACTCGTGCTAGAAAAAGAGTTCGAGGTACAAAAGTAGCAGTTTGGAGACATCTTTATGCTTCAAGAGTTGGTGTTTCTGTCTTAATTACAAACTGATATTGTAAGAAACTTTAAGAACTCACGCGACCTTGTCATGACGTGGGTTTTAGTAAAGAATAGGATAGCTTTGTTTTAAAATATATCGAGGAAAATTAATCCTTCCTCTTTTCTGTTAAATACCGTGATCTGTTTGAGGGTACAAAGGTGGAGGGTTGCGATAAAACATGTAGTTTAATCCCGCCACATTTTTGTCTGCTTGTTCTATGTCAGGAACCTATAAAGTAGTTTTCGTTTCCGCTTCTGGATTTCTTTATTATTTTGAGTACTGGAAGTGGATTGCAGATGTTTGATTATTTCTGTTAAATTTACTTATTGTATATAGACAGCTGTTAATATCTAAAGAATGCATTTTGCCCTGTGGATGATTTTGCTATTTCTTGTCATTGGGTTCCTATCTCACTTGCGTTTTCCCACATCTCATTTAACACATATTTCAAAAAGTCTGTGTGTAATTTATATTACTAAATGAATAGAGTTGAAATTGGGTGTCGCGTTTTCTTCTTTCACATAAAATCCACGAATATTGTTTTATACCACAAAGGGGTAATGTCCAGCGTAGTTTATTATGTGTTCATTTCAAGATCTTTTGGGGGGTATTTGGGGGTTAAAATCGGGAAAATAAAGCCAGTTCGGATCGACCGTCCTTCACGACGTTCGGCTCTGAAATTTACGTGCCGTCATCATTTCCGTCATTGCACGTCTGCCCGGCAAAATTAAATTTTATTTCGTAGCAGATACGGTAAATATTGACCTTACACTGAAACACCATGTGATACACATTCCCTTGACGCTCTAAGCAATTTAACAACAGATTTTTACACGTCAAGAGCTTTTCCTTCCGGGGAACCGCATCAATTCAACATGAAAATGTTGGGTGGATTACTTCAGTGTTCGGTTATAAACGGGTACCGAAGAGTGGCTGGAATGTGAACCACCCCCGTTCATATATTAATGTATAACATTTTTAGCTATGATTAGATCACAAACGCCAATAGTTTCTGTCGGGAAGACTTTTCTTTTGAGTGTCATATTGAGTGGTGGTATTTCGTCTGTGACACGCTTCAAAAAGATTTAAGATTTTAATATCGCCTTATACCAAAACTATATATCTTCAAATTATGAACCAACGTATATTTCGCGGGTATTTTCTAGTTATATCTATTGCAGTAGCTATAATCACCTTTTCAGTAATAACACTAGCAAAACAAAAACAACTAGATTTGTAATTGCTAGCAATAACGAATGGCACCCTCGTACCCCCATTCCCAGGGTAACGGCAGCCATTTTTAAAAATTCCAAAGTCAAACAGCGTATCTACACATGCCAATTAACATTGTAGTAAAGATTCATTAAGTTTGGAGCATTTTGAAATTTTTGACATTTTTGTTGTTTCCATGATAACGGTTGCCATCTTGGAAATGCCATACCCCGATTGCAAATCTGCACATGCTGGTTAACATTATGGTATAGTTCCATTAACATTAGTTTGTACAATTCCGAGATATAAGCTGGACAAAAAAAGTGGAAGAAAAATAATAAGAAGACGAAAAAGAAACGTAGAATAACAATATGTCACCCAAGTCCGTTGAGGGTGCCATAATGACATTACACAGAAATAGTTAAAACCATTCGTATTTTATTTTGGTCTGATAATAAATCTTTACTGGTAAGTGATTGGTGTACTGATTGACATTTCCTATTATGCCCCTTTGTTGTAGATTATGCATATAGACCACGTTTTTTCATGTGCCTTTCAAAATCAGGTATATCGTCTTTAATTGCCTTGTTGTATTCATCCAGTCAAAAAGTATACCAAGAAAGCAGTACATAGAAATAAGAAGATGTGGTATGAGTGCCAATGACAACTCTCCATACAAGTAATAGGCAAAGCAGTAAAAGAACTCTTACAAAAACTGTTATAAAATGCCCGATGCAAAGACTTAAGTATTACACAACAGACATATATTAACAAACACTGGGCAAAAACAGAGATTATAATAAATCTAAGGAAAACCATAGCAGGGGGCAATAATAAAAACAGCAAGCGTGGATGAGTATTTATACATCCAAACACCATAATATTAATATTGAATAAACAATTAAGAACAAAGATATAATAAACATGTGAAAGCTCTCTCACAGGCAAACAACCCATAATTGCAAAATAAAAGGGCATACACCACAAGCACGGGGACACATTCTACTGCATCCACACAGAACTTTAAACATAATAGTTCTTATTATAGTAGTAACATATTTAAATTTAATTTAGTATCAAATGAAAGCCTTAAGACTTGGTATCACTGTAGAACAATTATTTGAAATTGAAAAAGGAGGGTACATTTTGCTTGTTTCTCAGATCGGAAGTATCTGCTTTTTGTACAACTAAACTTTTTGGGTACCGGTGTGTTCTTTTATGCACATAAAAGTATGACGCCATGAATAAGTGATTTTATTCCTACAGGTACCGGTATTACTGAAAAACTTGAAATTCTTATTTTATAAATCATTCCTGTTAATTTCCAACTTGGACATATTTGTTGTTAGTAATCAAATTAAATCAACTTTATGTTAAAACTAAATAACATTTACTCTACCAATTTTTCAGTAATAACCTGAAGTTTCAATTTTTGCATTATTTTAGATTGAAATCAATTGAACATGTTTATTATGACTGGTTTATGGTAAACACATAGCTTTTTGGTCAATTTATCTCGTGATTTTTCATGTTTTAAGGGGTTTCGTACTGTATAATTTGATAACTCCGGCAATTGGTATATACTAAGATAAAAATTCCAAAATATCATCTGAAATGCAGTTGCCAAACAGTTAAGCAAGTTTCCCAGCTGCAAGATAGATAATTAAACAGGTCTTGTTTATTCATGTTTTACCACATAAGTATGGTTTTACTAATAACATCCCTTTTTCAATTTTACAGACAAAAAGAGGGACAAAGTCCTACTTATGTATGTTATGTTTCGAACACTTCATTTTTACTTAATGAACAAAATCTGGTAAAGTTCTTCTTTTTTCATTGGTTTTCACGATCACGTGATTCAGAGGGTTTTAAGTCTATGGACGCTATGTTTATATAATTATATAGACTTGCTCGGGAAAGTTTTTGGATAAGGAAGTTAAGGACAGTTTCCCCAGAGGGCATTAATAAAAAAACATAGAATGAGTCCCTACCATCACTAGTTTCCAGTAACTCAGGCTTCAGTACAGGACTCTTACATTTTTAAGGAATTTATTCCTCCTCCTAAACATCAATATTGAAAAAATTTACCAGCGTATTGAATCGTGATAATTTGTATAACGATCAAGATTACTATTACAGTGTGACTACCACATGTCAAGATAAGAACCATTTGACATCTTACTGATGAGGGATATTAGTTATCCGAAATATTTAACATTTGTTCATGATTTTTTTTTTTTTTTTTTTGGTGATGTTGTACCCTTTTAGACTTGCTTTTTATATATTATATTTTGTAGTGAACTGTATCATAATTATATGATTCATCGCCCCGTAAGATTTATCGTTGGCTATTATTCAGGCATTTTATATATATATTATATTGTGCTGTATTTAGACCCCTCTATCAAGAAATTTGTTTTACATGCACACGTATAAAAATTGCGGTTTTTATCCAACGCAATCATAGGTTTGAACGTTGTTTTCAATTTAGACTTGTTGTTATTATAAATATAATATATACACGTCTAAACATGTGACAACTTTATGACAGATAATCTTCATCGGATAACACGTGGTTATACAGGGCTAACACCATATACTTATATAATTCGTCTCAAATTTAACCGAACAATGTTAGATCTTCAAATTTGCGTTAGCCAATTTTTTATCTTCCCTCAGCGGGATTCGAACCCTTGCGTCTGTGACATCGTGGCAACACCGCCTGCACCGTGTCCAGCGCCCTAGACCACTCGACCACCTAGGCTACATAAAAATATAGCTTTCGGTGGTCGATGTAATGCCTTTCCTCGTCGGCTTTATCTTGGGTTGTATCACAGTACATGATGTATAGTGGCAAGTAGATGGTGTACCTTTCAGATCAGCTATTTTGTCTGTCGTAAAGGATGATAATGTTAATTACCATGCCGCCACATCAAATTTTTAATTTTATCATACACGTCTAAACATGTGACAACTTTATGACAGACAATCTTCATCGGATAACACGTGGTTATACAGGGCTAACACCATATATATATAATTCGTCTCAAATTTAGTCCAACAATGTTAGATCTTGGTTCTTCCCTAAGCGGGATTCGAACCCTTGCGTCTGTTACATCGTGGCAACACCGCCTGCTCTGTGTCCAGCGCCATAGACCACTCCACCACCTAGGTTACATAAAATGTAGCTTTCGGTGGTCGATGTAATGCCTTTTCAGCTTTATCTAGGGTTGTAATACAGTACATGATCTATAGTGGCAAGTAGATGATCTAACATTGTTGAGCCAAATTTGAGACGAATTATAATATATATATGTGGTCAGCCCTGTATCACCACGTGTTATTCGATGGAGATTGTCTGTCATAAAGTTGTCACAAGTTTAGACGTTGCCATGATGTCACAGATACAAGGGTTCGAATCT